TTTAGTTATCAATCTTACCATGATATAAGTTGCATTTTTTGAAAAATAATCTAAATAAAGATAAAAATTATCTTTAAATTAGGAGTGTTCATATTCGATCTAATCCAATTAATCCAACTTAAACTGATTCAATCCAATCAAAAACTGATCCAAATCGATATAAAATTGTTCTAAAATTTTAAAACCAATATAATTGATTTGATTCGTAATTTTACTTTCAAACCGCTCGAACTACCCGATTACAAAATAAAATCTAATTAAAAGATAATTTAATTAAATAATATAACATATTTTTTGTAGTATTTTAAAATTTTTTTTCTTATTTTACAAGATTATAACTCTATTAACTTAATTAAAAAATAAAAATAGAACATCTTCATATTCCCTAAGTTATTTTTTTATTTTAATCATGCACTCTAACCTTAATTCTAAATTTCTAATTCACTTCAAACTCTATTATCTCAAAATTGGTTTGCGCCTTTACTTTTAAAACCCTAAATTTTTAATTTATTCTTAAAATAATTTTATGATTCTCCTAACTAAATTTTAAATAAGTATCATTCTAAAAGTTTTAAAACTATATAATAAAATTAGTTTTAATATTCTACTATTTTTGGATATTTGGTTTAGAAATTTTAAATTTTGATTATGAATGCTTTTAATCAATTTTAGTAATATTCATGTTAAATATTATTCACTTTTAACATGATTTAAAAAATGAGATTAAATTATTAGTACATTAGGAAAAAAAATTAATTTTAATCTTCAAGAATTATTTACGTTGTGCTAAAAATTTGAAGTTATTTTTTATTGTTTTTGGTATTTCTAGTTATGTAACCAAGAAGAATTTTCAAAACTTTTCAATTTTTACCAATATAAAGGAGTATAAGAATTTGTTTATAATTTTTACCTATTATTATGCTTTTACCGATTTGAGTGTTAATGTATTTTATAGCTATACTTTCTATTTGATATTAAAATATTTTTACATTATCTTATATATTTAATAATGTTAAAAACTAATCAATCTGACCAAACCACACCGATCTGATTTAAATTGAATTGATTTGGTTATCTATGATAATTGATTAAATTGGTTTAAAAATTTTATTAACCGATTAAATTAAATTAGTTTAAAAAATAATAAAATTTAAATCAAACCATATCACGAGCACTCCACTTTAAATCCTTAATTTAAAAATAATTAAAAAGCATATATTATCTTGGGATAGAGGGATGACTTTCATAGTAATCCGGTGACATAAAGAGGCAGATACATATTGATGGTGGTGAGACTTCAATGTTTACTTTGATTATGCATTTTATTCTCGTGGTAATCTTGTGACATAAAAAAGTAGATACATATCAATTAAGAAATTATTTTGTTGTGATTACTCTTATGTTGCATAAGAGAGTGAATCAGTTTCCCCATAAAAAATAAATAAAACTTTAACAAATTGAATAAAAATTAAACAAAAATATAAGCCACCAAGACGTAGACTGATGAATGAGAAGAATAACGATGAACAATTTCATTATCAACTAATGGCACGGTGAGTGTTTACATTACATTACATTACACCAGGCAGTATCATGTAATTCAGATCAGACAAAGATCTTACCTGAAGTGTTCCTTCAAAACATATATTTTGCAGAATATTAGAATCATTAGAGTGTAATGATTTTCCTATGCAGAAGTGCATCGGTGGAACCTCCTCCACTGTGATCGTGGTCATGATCATGGAAAATGAGAGTCAAGATCCCTACCAAGCATAGAACAGAGCCTACAAGAAGTTTGTCATAGTGTTCCACCCAGTGAAACTTGAGCTGGCTGGCACCATAAAATGATAGAGCAACCAGTGAAGTCATCACCGTTATAGTGCTGCAAATCCAATATCACATTGAATCAAGATATACAGACGTGAAGGTTTGAGTACTGGAAAAAGGAAGCTGATAAACATAAGATGTGATAAAGTGGGTCTTTGACTCGTTGTTATCTTATTAAACCACCAGAGAAATTAAAAGCCATTCGTTATTAATAAATACCTGAACAGCAGTACTATGATGGCAAGTATCATCATAGAAGATGAATTCCCAACAGCTAGAAACACTGGAAGAGTGGTTGCACAAGGGGACAATGCAGGAACAAGAATGAGTCCAGCAACGGCCATTTTCTCCATGGGTTGGTTGTGAGAATGACTGTGGCCACCCTTTCCAGTCAAAAACAACAAGATGTAGCCACCGCCAAGAAACACAAGCAGAAGGGAAGCAAGTTTGTGCACTGTTTCTTCACCAGCAATCGTGTTTGCCATAGTGATAGCTGTTATGCCGAGAAGTGAAGTGGATATTACATGCAAAACTGCTCCAAATGCAGCTGCATGAAGAAAAGATAAAGGTAAGAAGAATGCCAGGGTCATATAATATATTAAAAGTTATATCGTTAGATACCAAAAAGGCTTGTCAATTAGATTTCTTCATTCAATTGATATTTTTGTAAACAATGGAAATCCAGATTTGAAATTCCAAGATAAACTTAATCATGAAAAGAAGACCCACCTCTATCCTAGCTAAGCCAAGGTAGGAAAAGATAAATTGAAGTTTTGAATTTCTTCCCAAGAGAGAGCATTATTACATTGTTTAGTCCAACTAGCTAGTTGAATAATAGAAAGCCTAAAGGAATAGAGAAACCATGAAAATAGAACAACCAATTGGACTAGTATAGAGGAAAACAACCCACAAAAATAATAATAATAACAGGATCTAAAGGAGGAACATTACTTAATAAAAGTAAAGAAACTTTGCCATAGCAGACCAAAAACATGCAGCATTTGCAGTTCAAGAGATTTTAGAAGGCTTAAAATCCTCATAATCATGCAATCAAAACATTTAGCATTAAAATTTCAAAACCCCAAATCATCACTCAGCTGAAACCTTCCACAATGTCAATCATCAAAATTGGCTCGATGCAACAAAATGTGAATTACAGGTACAAAAATGCCTTAAGTAAGCAGTATATATAAAGCTAAAGAATGAGTTGGAACTTGGAATCCTAAATTAAAAATAGTATATGCAGCAAACCAGAAGCACAATCAACATTTCAAATCTAAACCCAAGTTTTACTACAGAATCATGAAAGCAGCAAAAAGAAAAACATATCTGGGCAATTGGAATACAAATCCCAAAACAAAGGGATCTAATCTAACATCAACAAATTCATAAATGGGTATATGAATAACAAAGCATGCTGGATTTGGACTTACTAACGAGAAGGGTACGGGAAAGGGTCCATTTCTGGGCGCGACCCACGATTGAGAAGGGAAGCCAATGGGTAGGGATGAAGGAATGCAAGAGGGAAACGGTGGCAATCCCTCCTATAGTCGACAGATCTTCGGCAGTGAAAGCTTCCATGGTCTGGAGAAGAAAATGCGGGAGTCTAGATCTGGAGTCGAGAATTGGGCTGAGACTGAGATTTTGTTTCTACATAACGTTTTGGGAAGAACAAGGTGGGATTCAGTTGGTTGAGTTCGGTGCTGCTTCAATGAGATATCTAAGCAGATTTGTGAGAAACGGAGAACGAAGGATTTCTTTTATTAGAAAATAAAATGATTTATTTTATTTTCTGTTTTATTAATATTTTATTATCGTTTTAGAATTAATATTTCACCCAAGATTTTCTCTTTAGAAATAAAATTCATCAAAAATACTGAATTTTTTTTCTTCATAAAACATCAATAATCTACCTATAATATTTGTATGGTATACAAAAATAATAACATTATAAACTTATATTTATTACATATTTTATAATTAATTTTTTATTTAAAATTCAATATGATATTTGTATGCTCTCAATAATAGTATATTTAAAATTTTAAATACCAATCCACACGTATCGTTGGTAAGAACTTAACCAGATATCAACAAGAACTTAACCTAAAAACTTTAGGTTCAAATCCTTAAAATATTAATAGTGATTAACATTAAGCATACCGAACACAAAAATATGTAAATCACAAAATTTATAAAAGAACAAATTAATTACGTTGTTTTATCCAACAATCATTTTTCTTGTTGGTAAGAACGAATTTTTGTTCCTTAACAAAATTGCATTCACATTTTTTTTGGCTTATCTGATGACTTGTAGTCAAAATCTGATTTTTTTTTTTCTTTTTCCTTTTTTTTGAAACAGAAATAAATAAATCTCCTTCCACACTGAAAAATCAATTGAATTCCGCCTACCCATATCATATGCAAACATGTTAAAAGGGAAACATGTGGAGTTATTTTGAAATGAAATTCACTCACAAAATAGTACATGGGACTATCCACTATCCGTAAATATCATCCATCAAATCAACATCCGGACAAGTTACAAATAAGCATCTGAATTGAAGAATTTAGGTTCTCTTTAACATCAAAAAGACAAAAATTTTAAAGGACCGAAACCTAGGAAGATCTTCAAGCATTGGCAGCTTATGCATCACCTGGCATGCTCTTAATAATATCAGAATCACCTGAAACACAAGCAATAGTATCAAAGTCAGCAGATATTGCAACTAAATGAAGGCCAAATGCGATCAAGATCACTCAAAATACCTGGATCAATAATGCTGAGGCAGCATACTCTGAAATACTTGCCGCAGGCAGTGCCCAAGTCTACATTGTCTGTTAAAAACAGAACACACATTTTTGGTAAAAGATAAACAAACCAATGTCAAAATGCAGGGTTATTAATTCTGATGTTCATTATTTCAATCCTAACACTCCAGATTGCCGTTAAGTCATCGCAAGTGGGTTACCTCTGTTCAGCATTTTTACCTCGCATGATATTTAATGTCATTCACATTTTAAGCTCCATAACAATTTGAAATTTTATAAAAATCTTGCATAAGCAGGCCTCATTACCGATAAATAAAGAATAAGAAGAAAGGAATCACCATTCTATTAATTAGTCTTTACAGTATGCACCATATAAGATAACTTTAGACTTGGAAGGACTAGTCCAAGGCACTAATAACATCTGTAACTGGCTCGTTGATGATTGAAAGTGGAGGGCCCATGTTACGAATGACGCTGCGAAGTAGAGAACTACTTTGGCAGCTTTGATTTCTAAAAGAAAACTGGCTCAAACCAAACTAATGCAACATAAGAATGTCAAACAAGGATTGGGTGTAGAAACATACTTCCATTGTAGTGGTGGACTCCAACTTTAGCCAACATGGCATAATACTCAATCTCGGACTTCCTAAGAGGGGGACAGTTATTGGCAATGATGATCAATTTACCTGTTCCATGAAATAACATAGAGCCAAGATGAAAACCGTAACTTAATCAATATCAGGATCAAACATTTCAAGAAAAATCAAAGACAAACAATTGCAAAGAAACCCTAAGCATCTTAATTCGAACAAAACTATTGATTGAGTCGATTCAGCTTAAATCTACCATAGAAAAGTTAGAAATTAACGATTAAGGCTAAGATGGAACAGCTTGTTCCATTTCACGATCTACCATTATCTAGATCTATGCTTGGGATGCGTGGAGTAACAACAAAATCATAACTTAGTTCGAACAAAACTTGGCTAAGAAATACTTCTCTAGAAATTTCTAGATCCAATACAAATCTTCTACAAACACTGTTATTGGCATTGAAAATAATTGAATCGAATCAGATATGAGCCGTACCCTTGGAGTTCCTGAGGGATTTGAGGACGGTCTTGTACCCTAGAGTGTACTTGCCACTCTTCATCACAAGAGCGAGCCTGTTGTTGATGCTCTCATGGGTCTTCTTCTGCAATTGCAAACAAATAGTGAACAAAGGCGAAACCAGAACAAGTTAGATTTATGAATTTAACACCAGAGAAACAGGGAAGCAAAGGGCGAGGGGTTTTACGGTCTTCTTGGCGGCCACCATGGTTGCGGGGCTTCGAGGATGACGAGCGGCGGCGGAAGCGAGTAACCTGCCACGGACGAGGAAAACCCTACATTATATAATGGAGGCTGCAGTATATATGGAACGAGAGTAGGGTTTTGTGGCGTGATAAATCCTTTTAGCCTAAATTGCATCTTTTGACCCTGTAAATTTTGATTTATGCCAATTGAGTCTCATAATCAATAATTATATCGATCAAGTCCCTACTCTTGATACAATTTGAACATTGGTCATTGTTGATTTAAAAAGTATATGCTGAACCAAAAGGAGTTTGGCAAAGACTTGGTTTGATAATGTTGTCCTATAACTACAATTGTAAGTTTTTTTATTTTTATCCAAATAATCAATCTAGAATGTTTTAATAAATCAAAAATGAAAACAACTAGCCATAGAAGGGAAAAAAACAAAATGAAAGAGAAAGAGGAAAATCAAACTCACTGCATTTGATTTCCATGCTTGCTAAACTTTTGTTATGGTTGTCAAGGACAGACCGTTGCATGGATCCTCCAAAGAACCATCCAAGTAATCCCATAATTAAAAACTTTAATTTAAGTACTTCCATGAGAGGCAAGACTAGATCTAAAATGCCCTTTGCCCACTGCATCTCTCTAATTCTAAAGAGTACTTTGTTTTTTGAAATTTGTGATCAAGGGTGGAGGATGTGAGAGAAAAATGTTGAACATTGACATGCTAGCAATGCCAACCAGAGGTGCTTTTAAATTGAGAGGACCGCTAGCAACAGTAGTTTTTTGGGTGCCTGCTTCTAACATTGTTTGCCAACTTACATCTACTTTTAAAGGGTAAATTGGATACCAACTTAGCAAGATATGTGTTTACATTGAAACATTTCACCAAAAAAAAAAAAAAGGAAAAAGAAATTTAAAGGGTTTTTTAACTATAGCCTAAAAACACAAGTTAGGATTATAAGTAATATTTTTTTATATCAATTGACATTAAAATTATAAAATTTGATATTAATTTTATTACTTATGTCACATAAATTATTTTGATTAGATAATAGATTTTTTTTCAATAACAATAAGACACAACTTAAAAAAATTTAAGGTAAAAAAATTAATAATAAAAACAAAAAGAAAGTTAATTTTCTCTCAACTCGCTTGTCCATTGTGATTGGACGTCTTTCAACTTAGATCTTTCTCTTCACATTTTCTATTCCTCTAATTACAAATAAATTGGATATTGTTAGAGAAGATTTATAACATCATTAGATTTTTAAAATCTTAATTTTTTGAGAAAGCGTGGAAGATCTAAACAATTGAAGGAGAAACAAAACATAAAAGTAGTTAGCTTACTCATCC